AAAACATTGACTAAACAATATACATACTGATTCTATATGTATCATCAAGTACAGTGGATGACGCATTTATTAAACTTAGTAAATGATACATTATAACAATTTTCAAAACATGTATCAGTACATCAACTAAACAACTAATACCTTACTGATACATGATATTAGTTTTCAGAAATTCATACTACATGCAAAACATGTGATACATATCTACTACATGTATCAGTGCATTGACTAAACACTGTACATACAGATTCTATATGTATCATCAAGCAGAGTTGATGACGCATTTACTAAACTTATTGAATGATACATTATAACAAAAAAGAGGAGAAAAGACGAACTGATGATGAATTAATAATAAAAAGATGTTGGGTTAAGACGATTACAGATTAAGAAAAAAAAGACGATGATGGATTAAGAATAAAAAGAAGAAACCAATAAAATATGCCAGAGTCTTTGTTTGAATCCTTCTAAAGATTCATAGGATCATGCAAAGATTTTTTTCTATTTTCTGCCCCATTCTCATCAACAATTCCCGTCCTCTCCATCCCCGGCTGTCGGAGCTTCGGAACAGCCGCCGCCGCCGCCGGCGGCTGAGATGGATTGTCACCGGCAGTGGGTGTGGAAGTGAAAGACATATGAAATTCTAGAGAAGGGGTTGTAGGGTTAGTGATATCTGATGAAAAACTTCTGAGAATGATTAAAAGGGAAAGACATAAAAAGAAAAACCGATGATTTTGACGAAAGCTGGAGACTTTGTACTAATCGATGATGGAGTAAGAAGAACAATAAGAACGGGAGAGAAATTGTGCAGTTTTTTGAAATTTCAAATTTTTTGAATTTTGAAATTCAAAATTTAAAAATTGAGTGTTTTAATTAAAATTAATTAAAATTAATAATTCAAAATTCAAAAATCTGATTTAGAAGATTGAGTGTTTTAGTGGAGAAAAAATAGGCATTATATTGGGGGATTGTGTATTATAGGAGAGAGAATGGTATGTATCTATACACTTCTACTAAAATTAAAAAAAAAAAGAAATTATGTAATATTTTTAAAAAAAGGGGAAAATTAGAGAATATAAAACTTATAGTTGTGTATTTAAGTTATTTTCCCTAATTTTTTGGATGCTGGGCTGATCCTATTACTCCAACCTTGGCCCAATTTACATTCAGCCCATATTTTCCGCAATATCCTATAGTTATCCTATAATAAATTTGTTTTAATTAGGACGATATATATCATTTTCCAGAATTTTCAGTCAAATACTATCTGATATAAAAAAAATTAAAATAGAACACAACAAATGCTTAGCTTTATTTAATTCATATCTAGTTATTGTTTTAGTCAGTGTAATTATTATTAACACGGGTGCTCACAAATTTTTGTAATGAGATTCAATAGTTTTTGCACATTTATATAATTAACAAATTTTAATGTAGTCGTGTCAAATGGAACCACATCACATTAATTGAGATTAGTATTACTGTATTAGAATAAAGAGAAACCAAAATGGAAAGAAATTAGTAATTACCGCTAGTTTTAGTTGGTTTAGAATAATTGGTTGGGAGTAAGTAACTCTCACTCAATCCGTTACCTTAGTAAAGCTTAATTAGTTGAATCAATGGGGAGTCATCCTACTATAATAATACTACCTATTTACTTCAATTCAATTCTCAATCTATTACACAAATCCGTTAATACCAGACCTAGTCAAATTATGTTTCATTTAATGTCTCAACAATGTTCATTATGAACAATAATTTCTGATTAATTTCTATGTGTGTGTGTGTTATATTAGTTGTAGCTGACAGAAAGTGAGTAGATTAAACATGGCGGATCAAAAGGAAACCGTTAGCTTGGATGATATCAAGAAGGAGAACGTTGACCTTGTACGTTTTTTTTATTTTTATTTTTTATATGATAGTATGATTGTCATTTGCAATACAAAATGTGATTTCTTTTATCTCTTAGGTAATGTCTGAACTTTCCTGATGAAAATTCTGAGTTCGATGTATACTGTATCAAGAATGAATTTTTATTGTTTGGGAAAATATGTATAACATGCATTGTTTTGTGTGTTATACAGGAAACAATACCAGTGGAGGATGTATTTAGGATATTGGTAAGTTCCAAGGAGGGATTGGGATCTCAGGATGCAACTAAAAGGCTTCAAGTGTTTGGCCAAAACAAACTTGAGGAGAAAAAAGAGAATAAGGTCTTAAAATTTTTCGGTTTCATGTGGAATCCCTTGTCATGGGTTATGGAAATTGCTGCTATCATTGCTATTGTATTGGCAAATGGACAGCATAGGCCACCAGATTGGCAAGATTTTCTGGGAATTGTGATCTTGCTTGTCATCAACTCTACGGTTAGTTTCATAGAAGAAAATAATGCAGGCAATGCTGCAGCAGCCCTCATGGCTGGTCTTGCTCCTAAGACGAAGGTGATAAGAGATGGAAGCTGGAAGGAGATGGATGCAGCATTGTTAGTACCAGGGGATGTGATAAGTATTAAGTTGGGGGATATTGTACCGGCTGATGCTCGTCTACTTGATGGAGATCCTTTGAAGATTGATCAATCTGCTCTTACGGGTGAGTCATTACCCGTGACAAAGTACCCAGGGGAGGGAGTTTACTCTGGTTCCACATGTAAACAAGGTGAGATTGAGGCTGTTGTTATTGCAACTGGAATCAGCACCTTTTTCGGAAAAGCTGCTCATCTTGTTGATAGTACCAATAATGTTGGCCACTTCCAGAAGGTAAAAATTCTTGCAATTCTGATTGAAAAGTTGAAATGGAGCTCATCCAGCTGACGTAGATGATTTTTACAGGTGTTGACAGCAATTGGTAACTTCTGCATATGCTCTATTCTAGTTGGAATCATCATAGAAATACTGGTGATGTACCCAATTCAGCACAGGAAGTACAGAGATGGAATTGATAATCTGCTTGTTCTTCTCATTGGAGGGATTCCAATAGCCATGCCTACTGTATTATCGGTCACTATGGCTATTGGATCTCACAAATTGTCAGAACAAGGTGCCATTACTAAGAGGATGACTGCTATAGAGGAGATGGCTGGAATGGATGTTCTTTGTAGTGACAAGACAGGAACTCTTACACTAAACAAGCTTGAAGTAGACAAAAGTTTAGTCGAGGTTTGTGAATTAACATGACATTTCTTGAATTTATAGAGACAAGCCAAAGTGTATGCTAATTCAATGTCTTCTTCATTGGGAGGGATGGTACAGGTCTTCGCAAAGGATATGGACCAAGATACCGTTATTCTTCTTGGGGCCAGAGCTTCAAGGGTTGAAAACCAGGATGCTATTGATGCTTGCATAGTTGGAATGCTAGCAGATGCCAAGGAGGTAGAAAACTTGTCCCTTCATTTATGATAGGCATCGTTAGCAACTTTCATCGATAGGAAGTGCATCAACTTACTTGTACCTGAAGTTGTTATTTATGTGTGCTCTGTAGGCTAGAGCTGGGATTCAAGAAGTGCACTTCCTGCCTTTTAACCCTGTTGACAAGCGTACAGCTATTACTTACATAGACACCAATGGCAATTGGCATAGGGTTAGCAAAGGTGCACCAGAACAGGTAAGCATTAGCACTTAATACTTCTTTCTGTCTATACCTGAGTTGGTACATAAATCATTTGAATTCTGTTACCAGATTGTTGATCTTTGTCGCCTAAGTGAGCATGTAAAGAGGAAAGTTCACTCCATCATTGACAAGTTTGCTGAACGTGGTCTTCGCTCTCTTGCAGTGGCTCAACAGGTGAAAAATTTAATAAAGCAAAGTCTGTAGCATTGTGTTTTTTAATTTTCTGCTTCAAACTGAAGCCAGTGGATGTATTCTTTATGAATACAGACTGTACCAGAGAAGACAAAGGAAAGTCCAGGATCGCCTTGGGTTTTTGTAGGGCTCTTGCCTCTTTTTGACCCTCCAAGGCATGATAGTGCAGAAACAATTAGGCGTGCCCTTGTCCTTGGTGTCAACGTAAAAATGATAACTGGCGATCAGCTTGCCATAGGCAAGGAGACTGGTCGTAGGCTTGGCATGGGAACAAACATGTATCCCTCTTCCTCCCTCCTGGGGCAGCACAAGGATGAAAGTATAGCTAACCTCCCTGTGGATGAACTCATCGAGATGGCTGATGGCTTTGCTGGAGTCTTTCCAGGTTACTAACTATTTCCCATACATTTCTTACTGTTGGTAAGTCATCCTCCTGACTTCTATTTATTAATAATCTTTATACTTACTTGTGTTTGCGCGATATTTTGGAACTGTGTAGAGCACAAATATGAGATTGTGAAGAAGCTCCAACAAAGAAAGCACATTTGTGGTATGACAGGAGATGGTGTGAATGACGCCCCTGCTTTGAAGAAAGCAGATATAGGCATAGCTGTGGCTGATGCTACTGATGCTGCTCGTAGTGCATCAGACATAGTTCTCACAGAGCCAGGATTAAGTGTGATAGTGAGTGCTGTTTTGACTAGCCGAGCCATATTCCAGAGGATGAAGAATTATACAATTTATGCTGTTTCCATAACCATCCGAATCGTGCTAGGCTTCATGCTCATTGCACTAATCTGGAAGTTTGATTTCTCACCTTTCATGGTTCTTATCATTGCCATTCTCAATGATGGAACCATCATGACCATATCTAAAGATAAGGTGAAGCCGTCACCCATGCCTGATTCATGGAAACTGAGAGAAATATTTGCCACTGGCATAGTTCTTGGTACTTACCTAGCCGTGATGACTGTTATCTTCTTTTGGCTTGCTCACCAGTCAAATTTCTTCAGTGTAAGTAAATTCTGCACTATTCAATTAACAAACAGTATAACTGAAATGTTGCTTATCAATCCAACTTGCACTGTACTAGCAGGACAGGTTTGGTGTAAGATCGATTAGAGACAATGTACACAAACTCAATGCTGCACTGTATCTTCAAGTCAGCATTGTTAGTCAGGCACTCATTTTCGTAACTAGGTCAAGGAGTTGGTCTTACGTAGAACGACCTGGTCTCCTTCTGTTAGCTGCTTTTTTTGTAGCACAGCTGGTAAGTTGGTTAGTTTCCAGTACCAGATTAGCCGTTAGCAGTTAACACCATAGAACTTCACCTCTAATGATTTGCTCATCTTTCAGGTAGCCACCATAATTGCAGTATATGCGAACTGGGGTTTTGCCAGGATCCATGGAATTGGTTGGCGTTGGGCTGGTGTTATTTGGCTTTACAGTATTATTTTCTACATACCTCTAGATTTTCTAAAATTCGCAATCAGATACATTTTGAGTGGCAGAGCCTGGAACAGTATGATTGACAACAAGGTACTTCACACCAACAATGTTCATATCAATTAAAAATTTACCTAACATGTTATGACTTGTGACACTCTCTTCCTACTGTGCAGGTTGCTTTCACAAACAAGAAGGATTATGGTAGGGGAGAAAGAGAGGCACAATGGGCATTGGCTCAACGCACATTGCACGGACTTCACCCTCCCGATTCTTCAAAGATGTATGACAACAAAAGCTATAATGAATTGTCTGAAATAGCTGAGCATGCCAAACGTCGTGCTGAAGTTGCAAGGTACTTCTGATTGATATTTCCATATTGCAGCTTGCAGGGGTCATTTTTCAATAGCTTAACGATTTTCTAATTTCGATTCTTCTGCATTTGTTAATAGGCTAAGAGAGCTTCATACACTCAAGGGGCACGTGGAGTCAGTGGTGAAGCTCAAGGGACTTGACATTGAGACAATTCAGCAACATTACACGGTGTAGTACAGCAACCACAGTACAAAAGTCAATTGGCAAATAAAGAGTTAGAAATAAGAAACAGAAAACTGTTTCTAGGTTCCCTCTTTCCCTTCCTTACGTTGCTGATTAGCAGATAGTATGTTCTCCGGGAATAATGTAGCAAACAAGGTCGGAAAGCATAGGTCTCGTAAGAGCTAGACAGTTTCCTTTTTAGCTTATACTTGTATTCTACCAACTTTTAACTACTTTAATTGTAATCAGCCAAAATTTAGAAATTGCTGCATTTCAGTTTATGCAAATGAGATTCACTTTGCTGAAATTTGTTCTCTTTTTGACAAACATGTGGTGACTCATAAGATTTGAACCAATTCTTAACAAGGATTTGAGTTGTGTACCTCTGCAGTAGCAACTCCATCCTGCATTACTTCAAGGGCATGGTTCAAAAATATCATTCCGCGCTAGGTAGTCTCCAATTAGAACAAAAGATAATGAAGAAATTAGATAGTTTCTTATCTAATCAAAAGAACGATATAGAAAGAGATAATCACAACGCAACAAGTCAACAATTTCATATATTATGGACAATTAAAAAAACCTCTTCATACACTTAAGTCACATAGCATCAAGATTATATTCTTTCTGTATATAGAATTAAAGTAACAAGGTAATTCAGTGCTTTAATCTATAACCTGCTTGATTTAGAAACCACATTGCTCCTTCAGCTGCATTCTCTGCTGCAGCTTTCTTCTTTGAATACGGATTGCCCATACACTCTATAATTGTTGTACGAAGTCCTCTTATTTCCACAATTACCTTAAAGGTGAACCCGCATTTAGCTTCTCGATCATTCTAACTCATTATACACTTAATATCGATTCGTAACTCACTACAACTGTGCTATGAATCAGTGTTTTAAAATGCGAGGGCGTACTTTTAAATTGGAATAGTAATAAACTTACAACTTATGGTGATCTGGACCTTCCTCATTGCAACATTCAAATAAAGGTGCTTTCCAATGATTTACTGCACAAATCTCATACAAATGTGATTTGACGGAGCCTTGATTTTGATTACCTGTTAAAAAAATCAAACTACTTTTTCCGCTTCAAATCTACGATCAAACGTTTAAAATTCGTGTACAGTCAATATCTATCCACTAAGAAAAAGTATTGGAAGCTTTATATTTTACCTTTGCCTTTGGACTTCCCATCCATGACGGCACAAAGCGGGCGAAACGTATTCGGGTCGGGTACTGTTTCACTTCTATATTCTCCTCGAAGCCGCTGCATAAATCTTTCAGCTTCACTATATTCCAACTTGTTCCAGAAACATCCAAATTAATCTTATCGTAAACTCCAATTATCATCAAATTACAAAATTATAGAGATGCTATAATTGTGTTTTGAGTGTCGATAACGAATTAGTATTATTATATAGAGATTTTGGTGAATATTTTCTTTTTTCTTATTTTGGAGCTGTTCTAGAATTATCTTAATAGATGTTATTCATATTTAGTGTCAGTCATAGTGTTGGGTAAGCTAAATGAAGGTTGAATTAATTACAACAATTAATTAAAGTTAGGCTTCTTTTGAATTTATTGATTTATAGCCGCAGCTTTCCCTGCCGTGTCATTGTTGATTAGTGCGCGTACGAAAATAATATTTCGAGGATTTGATAAGAGTGTGATAATGTCTGAGTAACATAAAAAAAACGTACAGATACGATAGAACATTTTTTTTAAAAAAAAATAAAGGTTTGATATTTTTTTTTTGCATTTGCAGAAACTTGTTATTCTTCTGAGATGCTTTCTAAACTGGGATGCCATTGATCGAAAGACGAAAGCCTTGTGGTTGAAACTCCTGTTGATGTTTCATTGAGATCTGAAGTTTTCTGTTTTCTGTTCAGAAAATTTGTTTCTGAGGATCCCAAGCTGTTGCTTGATGATCTTGTTTCAGTACTCATAACATTATTTATAATAGCTGATTTGTTGATTTTCATCCCTGTTAATAAGCAGGTAAAGCAATTTTCATCCTGCGATCGTGAATCTCTGTTTTCTTGTCTCAGAGAAGAATAAGGAACCTCTGATTTTTTGTTTGAATTTCTATGGAACAGCCAGCAATTAGAAAAACTGCCTTCCTGATTTTCTGCTGTGTTTTCCTTAAGAATTGATTGTTTCTGAAATTTATGAACGAGAGCCGGAGAGGATTTAAAGGCGAGGGATTGAAGTCTTTTAAGGGTGCTTATAGGCACAATATAGAATTTTTGGCCAGGCATGAGAGTGGTTTCCGGTGGCAGAATGGCCCATGGCTGCTGGAAAACTGTTGGATGACAAATCCAACTTTTCGGGTTTCTGCTGATTATTTCTGATGCAAGAACAGGCCTGTCATGAAGTTCTACATGTCCTCCTGGATGAACAATTTTTACAAACATGTTTTTAGTATTACAACTGCATATCCAGTTCGAAAAGGCCATGATTTTTCAAGCATATAACCTGATTTTGTTTCCTTTTCGGAGTGCCAAGGGGAAGAATACATCGAGTGAAATTAATAGTTATGAGCTGGGATGGTAAATGAAAAAGAGAGCATATTTTTTAAATACTATTGTGTTTGATGTAAACTTCCTTAGATATTGCCGTGAGGTTACTAAGAACGGAATCTTAGATGTAAACTATAAACTCCTTGGTATGGAGGTATGGATTTTGACAAAGTAAATAAGTGCAGTTGGAAAGTGTATATAATGGAGTAGACCAGGTAGTATACTACAGGGGTAAATTTGTACTGATAGTACAAGTAAACGTAGACAATATCCGAAAGTAGAGAGGTAAATTTGACCCTTCGTGTTTGTGAATGAAACACGTCTGATATACCGATGATAGTCAAGTTGCTGTGACTGAAAACTTCAAGGAAACCAGCTATTGACACTGGTTTTCCAGAAGGAGAATCTTCAAACTAGGAAATAACCACACTGTTCTTTTGTCTTTCTTAATGTGAATGTTGTTTCACTAAAAGATACGTTACAAATTGTACCATGTGACTATCTAAGACAATGAACTGGATATTCTTTTTCCCATTTCCATCCTATGACTCCAGTTGTTATTAAAGTTCAAATTCAACTGGTAGGTGAACAGTTCGAGTTACACTCGAGGGTAAGTGGGAACAAGTGATCAGAGGTGGAGCCAAGACTAGGAGTTTGGGGGATCTAAATCGATTTTGTTTGGGGATTCACATGCAAATACACATATTTTTTTAATCTGCTAATACAAATATAAGATCTACGAAAAAGCTAGTGGTTCGAATCCATGAACCCCACCTAGCTGAGAAAATTCAATCTAGATAGCAGCTGATGAGGAAGTACCCATCCTTAAAAGAGGATGGCATTTATCATTTTTAGAATGGCACATGCTATAATTTTTATGGTCCCAGATCCACAAAAATTGTAGGACATGCTACACATGGTTGGCATTCATGACATATATTTATCTTCTTTATTGAAGATGTAGAAGAAGGCCAAAAAAGGTGCTTGAATTGAATGAGAGACAACATTTTTATCCTATCTGCCCAGGTATACAGAGAAATCAGCACGTGAAGCTCAACAAGGTGGGGAAAAGGGGACTGAAGGGCGGTCTATAATCGATTGCCAGCAAGAGAGGAAGGTGAAGTTATAGCCTGGCCAAGCTAATCATAATAGCTATAGATGGAAAAGAAATAAAGAGAAAAGAAGAACTTTTGTATGCACAAAAATACTGGAATATTTTGTAAGCCATTCTTTACAGTAGAAGCATATTAATTCCTCTAATACATAAAACTACCATAAAAAGGCTAAAAACTTGAGGAATCTTGAAATAAATCAGAGCTTTTGCTACCTCAAATTTACAATTATATACACACAGCATAAGTTTTCTTTTGGTGAGTGGTCCTAAAGCTAAATTCATAGCAAAAATTGCAATCAACAAATAGCAAACCAAAGATGCAAAAAAGCAAGAGGAAAGGTCAAGTTGCTCATTCAATTACCAGCTTCAGTGTCTATAGTAAACTTTAAACGAAGCAGCTCATATTGTTAGGCGCTAATAGATAGTGCAGAATCCGCAATTCTCAGGGAGCCACCAAGGTCAATTGGTACAAGGGGAATGAAGGAGTGCAGGACATCTGTTATCAGTGGTCGGTAACTTGGTTCTGGTTGTACACATAGCACGGCTACAGCAGCAACCTATCAAATCATTCGTTTTGATTCCATAAGTTAAAATAGTAAAATGAAAGTAATAATTTGACAAAAGATCCGATTGCTCTCACTTGATACAAGTGCTTCAGGTCCATTCCCTCTCTAATGACAGAATCAACAATATTAGGGAGCTTTGACCTGTCAGTTAGCTGTGGCATCGCCTGTTTGACATAAAATTACTTAAACGTCAGCATCCCGTGAGCTCAAAGAGATTTTGAGCAAACATTCAAGTATGATTAGACAATCTCTTGCATAACATACCCATGTGACTATAGATTGGCATTGAGCTCCCTCTAGTTTCTCCACTGGTCTTCTCCCCAGCAAAAGCTCCAGAAGTATAATGCCGAAAGCATAGACGTCACTCTTATCAGTTAATTTCCCTGAAGTGCAGCAAAAATATAGGCAAAAATGTTTTAATTTCAGATTTCTGGTTATGATGTTATTTCATATGAGGAGAGCGCGAAAAACAAGATATAACATTTACATTGTTAATTTGAGAAAAAGAAAAAAACGATATTTAGCATTCATTTGTTTTTCATTAGCATACAAAGTACTGTGGACTAGGTAAGAGCTTTTGCTTCTTCATTGGAGTATCCTTCATCTGTATCTGCAATTTCCTTCCACTTGAACTTATTTAGCCAAAAGCTAGGTAGCGCTCAACCAATATTAGTACAGAACTGAACTCTGCCTTTTGAAATAAACTTATCAGGGAAATATATTTTTGGACATTAACATTTATATATCAATCTCGAGATACTAGTTAACATTTTCACTTTCCCTTTATCTTCAATGTGACAAAGAAACAAAGTTGAAGACTTGAAGGTAAAATGGTCATCACAAAGGAGTCAAAACATTAATGTGAAGTTCAGGTGTATCTTAGAGAATCAAAGTCATCATACTAGAGAAGACATAAGAATCTCGTAAGCAAAAGAAGAGAAGCTTATCTTCTTCATATAATCTAATTGTTGATAAATCAAATATGTAGCTCTAGCAATTACATCAGAAGCTCAGTGATAATGGTGCTTCTTTGTATATGCTTTTGCAGATGGGTATATGAATTTTCTAGGAAAGACCAATTTCTTCTAATTTTAGAGGAGCAAAGTGAGGATAATTCTTGGGAGACACTTCTATGACACAGAACAGAAGACAAGTAAATTGGACTATCTACTAGATGAGGCACCTTCAAACAAATTAACATCAATGTCATCTTCATTTAGCAAATTGTGATAAAATGGGGAGTCTCACATACCATCTAAAAGGTACTCTGGAGCCACATAACCCAGAGTTCCTGAAAGCTTTATATTGCTCTTGCTCAAGTTCCATCCAGCTATAGCAAGGCCAAAATCAGAAAGCTGATCAAAGTAAAAGCTGACCGATTCAGACAAGCCAAACCATACCAAAATGTTTATAACGGAGAAGCAATTGAGTGAGATCTGTGTGATTATATCGCTAGTTTACCTTTGCATTGAAGTTGGAATCCAGTAGAACATTAGATGACTTGAGATCTCTATGGATTACAGGGGGGTTACAGCGTTCATGGAGGTATTCTAGTCCCCTGGTCAATCACAACAGCATAATTATATCATTAACTTCCGAAAACACAGAACTGAGGGAGAAAAAAGAAAGAGGTAGCACTAATAAATCATAACAGTACATACCTAGCCACATCCAATGCAATTTTCATGCGAAGATGCCAAGTCAAAGCTGATCCACGAGGAGGTCCTGATCAAGCAGGTCAACTCAATTATGGAAAACGGAGAATAATTTAGAATAGCATGTATACACTTGTTCTCTTTTGTACTTTATATCAGGACAAATAGGTGGCTATTACCATGCAATTGGAATTCCAACGATCCATTCTGCATCATCTCATACACCAGGAATTGTGCATTGCTATGAATGCAGTACCCAAGAAGCGAAATAATATTTTGATGCTGAAATTTACTCAACATGTCCACCTCATTCTGAAATTCAATCAGATATCTGTTTTAGCACAATATAATTATCACTATGGTTACATTCTGGTCAACATCTATCAGACTACCTCAAATTCTTTCTCAGCATCCTGATCCCCACCATGAGTTCTTTTAACAGCTGCTTGGACATCGTCACTGAATTGAGCTTTATAAACACATCCTGATCTACCTTCTCCTATAGCATTCTTCTCATTGAAATTATCAGTTGCAGCTACTAACGACTGGTACTCGATCACAGCAACTAGTCCTTTCTTACCGACAGTTTTTAAAGAAGGGAACTTGGCCATTATAGGACCCCATGAAAGGCCCTTCGCAGGCTCTACACCATAAAATTGGAACAAATAAACAATGTGCAAGCTAGGTAAAGAAAATAAAACAATTTAAACAATCAACAGAAACTCAAACCATCCTTCAAAAAAGTAACTTCTTTTAATAACAAAGTTACCTCCTTTCTGATGTCTTTGTTCAACGGACTTCTTCCGTGTTTTCAGTCTGTATATCCAAAAGCAAGATATAAACAGCAGAATTCCAGCAAGGAGAGTTGAAGCAACAATAAGTGAAATCAAAATCTTCTTATTTAGATCCTGGTGATGAACCACTTTGAACTCTGCAACTCCTGATTTGAAGAATAAAAATAGATTCAATGAGGTTGAGCTAACTAACACTACAAAAAGAAAAATTCCCCTTTTCCATTTCCAGTCTTTAAGCTTATTGAAAGAAGAAAATGTGGTCCTTTTCAATTTTAAATTTTTCTTGAAAGCATCATTATGTCTGCCATCAAAAGGGTAACAAAAATTTTAAAAAAGCAAAAGTACTCTGCAAATCACTTCAAAATAACAAAGAGGGAAGTAACAAATCTAAGTATCAAACTGCAAGTTCCTACTAACTTCATCATAAGTTAACTAATTACACCTTCAATGTATATATATACCCATCAAGAAGATCCAAACAAAAAAAAAAGACAGTTTTTTTTTTTGCATTGTTAATTACCCGGAGAAGGGGCGTCCTTATCAGAAGAAATTTGAAAAATGGGTCCTTTCTCAGTAGGAAGAACTGGATCGGCACTTGGAGGCTGTGGAGTTACATCCACTGGAGCAGACAACAAAGGAGTAACAAAAACCCAAATGGGTATAAGCAAGATGAGTAGTTTCATCTTCAAAGTAACATACAAAATGATATTTCTTCAGAAAGACTCAATTTTTTTTTTTTGAAAATTGAAATGTGGGATAGTTAGTAGATGTGGTTTAAAGGGGTATCTCAGTTATGCTTTTTACCAGAAAAAATGGAAAGAAAAGGACAAAATAATGTGGCAGATGGAAAATGAAAAAAGGTAAAAGGAAGTTTGTTTTTGTAAACCTGAAAAAGCTTAAAAGGGGAAGAGAGACACAACAATCTCGTGGCAGTTATCAAAAGTTGAAAATCCTTTCATCAGAGATTTAAGAAATTCACGTATTGTTATATTAAGTCTGTCTATGGCCTGGCTGTGGCTGGCTGTGTATTGGAGATTGTGCTAGTGGGGTTTTGACACTGTTTTGTTATGTATTGGGGATTTGTGTTTGGGAGAAGAGAGAGTGTGAAATTAGTGTTTAATTATGTATGTTAATGATTTTTTTTTTAAGAGTCAAATGATTATATCTTTTTTTTTTAGTTTTAAATTATCAATATTATATTTGTTTGTTCAATTTAGTATGTGATAAAAGAAAATGTCATTTTTCTCTAATTAGAAGGAATTTAATTTATGTATTAATGAAATAATTTATGAACATATAAGTGGTCAACGAATGTTTTAAACCACACATTTTAAAAGATTTGTTTTGTTTTGTTAATTTTATGTCAAGTCAAATAATGTTTAAAATAGAGAGATTTTGACTTAGATGGTGATTAGATTGATTTAAAAATTGGTCAAACGTATTTTTAAGTTAGTTTTTGACTTTTAAAAATATTTAACAAATATATATATAACTTAATAAAAATAAGTTAGAAAGTGTTTGAGATGGTTGAAAATAACTTAAAATAAATTTAAGTGTCATTTAAGTTCGACAATTTATTTTTCACTTAAAAATTACTTTTTTTTAAGTCAATCCAAATAAGCTCTTAGTTATTCCCTATGTTCGTTTTCAATTATCATAATTTCCTTTTTGAGAATCAAAGTATATGAGAATTTGATTAACATTTTAAAATATATTTTTTCATCGTAATGATAGAAAAAAGATTGTAATTAAAGTACTTTCCATATAATTTTTAAATATCTAAATTTTTATTTTAAAATATATATTTAATATAATTTAATATAGATTTGAAATTTAGTCAAAATTGACTCTCAACAAAACACAACATAATAACTAAAAAGGAATTAAAAGACTGAATTTTCTATAATTTTTAAATATGTAACTTTACTATAAAAAAATATTAATTTATACTTTTTAAATTTTTGATTATATATACAAAATAAAACTCAACTCTCAAACATTTGAATTGAATGTATGAACATAGGTGTGATATATTTATAACAACAATCAATTTCATTTTTATCGATAACGAATCTTTTGAAGCCAATGATATAATATTTTAAAAATTATAATATTCAAATGATATTTATATTTTGCTTTACACATTATTTTGATCAATAGGACGGAAAAGATTTTACTTAAAAACACTTTAAAATATTTAAAAGTTTTATTTTTATATCAACAAATTTATATCGAATTAAACTACGTAAAAGGGCTAAAAAAATGTTTAAAAATTCATTCATCTATTTTTCAGTCTTAAAATATCCTTTCATTCATTTTTTGATTTAAAAATATCATTTCATTCACCTTTTTGCTCACATATATTCTTAAAACTAATTATCCTATCTTTACTTTATTTTTAATATACTTATTATGTGTCATTTTTTTATTGGAGGAAATAAAAACCTTACCTCTTTAATATTTTCTCCATAATTTATCCAAGTCAAAAGAACCCCAATTTTATTTTTATTTTTTAAAGAAAATCTAATTGTTTTTTTTGTATTTATTGCATTTTACTTTTCAAGCTTGTTTTGGATTGATTAATAAGGGCACTGTTTTGACTTTGGATAAATTTTATGAAAAAAATTTAAAAGTTTCTTTAAAAACCAGAGTAATAATATTTTGTATTTGTTGTAGGATTTTTAAAAATTATTTTTTGGGGTCATGAAAAAAGTATATTATTTTAACTTGAATAAATTAGGAAAAATAATATTTAATTTTTTATAAAAATATCTATATTATTTATTGAATATTTTTTATTTTTTGTCGGATCTTGTAAAAAGAACGTATTTTTTTCTCTGACTGTCTCTTTCATTTGCGGAGCGTATGTTATGTGATTCGTGTACTCATCATATATATCTTTCTTTCTTCTTTTTTTTCAAATGAATTGTACAATAAAAATAAGATGGTATTGTTAGTCTTAAAAATATATATAAGCCAAAAAAGATGAATAGAAAAATATTTTTAAATTAAAATATGAATAATTAAATATTTTAAATTTAAAAATAGATGAATGACATTTTTAAATTTTTTCTTAAAATTAAATATATTTTTAATTTTTTTTGATTAAATCATGACACATGAAATAAAACGGAGTAACTATGGAAGGTACCATGTGGCTATTGTGACTAATAATTTTTATCGTACACCGACTACTAGATTGGAAAGAAAAATCAAACCCCTCAACAACTTCTAGACTTATACATATAAAAATAAGATAAAAAACAATCTGATTTGACAATGATAGTTCATAATTGAGTACCATTCAGGATCTAAAATACTTAATCACTCCCCTTTTTGGATGGATCCCATTTATTAATATAATTATTATTATTTTATATATATTAAGCTATATAAAACGCATTATTATAGCTTAAATCTACATTTAAATCCCTTTTCGTCTATTACATTTTTTTAACCAAAAAATTATATGTTCACAAATTATGCCTATATGAATTGGGTGGACCGTATAATGAGATTTGAGTGCAATTATTATTAGATTGTACTGTAGTATAACTTATGTTACTCTAATAATAGTACAATTATTCCTTGTTTTTTTTTTCTGTCCAAATTGTAACCCTGATATTTTTTTTATTTATAATTTTCTCATTATACATTGAATTAATTTATTTTCCTATTTTAATTATTTTCTGGTGCTGTTTGTTTTATTTAATTTATTTATTCTGCTGAGATATGTATTTATTGATTACCAGTGGTAAGAGCAATTTGAAGAAAGACGACAATCAGCCCTTCATAATCCCCACGAGAGTAACAGCCCAACAGTTGTTGACTGCTGGCAAATTAATGTAAAATAAATAAAATATTATATCGTTTCTAATTATTATAACCTATCTTACTTATTTGAAAATAATTAGAAGGTAAAAAATTATAAATTATTTCAATTATTTTAATATGTAGGTGAACATTTTTAATAAGTAATTAATTTGTATATGCCTCCAATTTGCTCGTCCTTCTCAAACTCTTTTTGAGAAACTCATGAAGCCATTGCTCTGTTTCTCTCAAATTCGTTTAAATACACCTTATAACTTTAACAATAATTATCAAATTCATTTACATGCAATAATTGGACCTGAATAATTATGTAATGAATTTAATAGCACACTAGTTTTCCTCTGTTATAATTGAGGAATTATGACATGATAAAAAGTGTAACAGTAATAACTGATGAGTAATTAAGAAACTTTGAACTCCTTTTGAGACAAGAAAAGGAAACTGAATAGAATAAAACAAAAAGAAAGAGGGGTTGAGTGTACGCATGCTCGTCGTGTATGGTGTTGTTATCACGCGCGTATCACTTATTTTGTCACCTTACTCCATTGGTTTGTGATATTTTGCATAATGTCAATGCATTTCTTACTCTATTATCTTAAGCTTCGATTCAATAAATTTTCATAGATCAAATCAAAATTCAAATAGTAGAATACTTTTTCGACAGAAAACAACAACAAAAAGAAATTCCACACGCATTTCTAAACTAGTAGAATTTTCACAAGTTCAAAATCGAAAAAAAATAAACACAAGCTACTCGAAGGAATTCAACGATATAAAAAATAATTTAAGCATTGTTTAAGTGATCCCCACAGCCACAATATACAACTTCCAACTTGTTCCAAATTTATACTTGGGCCATGAATTTGGTTGTGTTGGGCTTCTTCTGTTCATTAAAAGATGGGCAGGGCCTATCTAATGTCTCATCCTACAGTACAAGTACCCATTCTTCATCATAAAGATTTCCCTTACACTGTCTAGTATATCATGGTAGACAAAAATGTCTATCACCTGCTCACATAAAAGTGTACTCTTTCTAACAACGCAGACAAAAGTTTTAAGATCGAATCTCACGGCTATAATGTACATGTTTTTTTTGTGCCAATCCAATTGATCGGGCCTAACACAAACACATGCCTGGGCCTCTCAACACAGAATAGAGAAACAATCCAGACCAACAATAACACTTGCTTGATTGTTTCTGCTTAATGGCTGTATCCTTATCGAATTATAGTAAGCCATGGTTATCCTTCTACTCTGCACAACGCCTACATGAGAATTAAATGTAGAATTTAACATTTATCTTTTACATTGAATCTTTCTTTTTGGTCAGCTCTTTGCTGAAAGGATCAAGAGTGGCACATACAACAAGACACTCCATTCATTTCAATTGCCGCATTTTCTGCAGCAAAGCAAATGATCATTCATCAATCATCCCTCCAACTAATCCTGCATTTGTAGTAATGTCCACCGCTCAACAACTAAATCACATTAACTCTACTCAATCATCCTTCAAAAAACACAAGCTTAACCTTGATATGCCAAAATTTAGACTCCGGTCAAGTTCACATTCCATTGATACTTGTGATGCATTAATTTACTGTTGCCCAGTTGTTGCATGGGGCGCATTTAACATATTATGTGCCACTAACAAATTTGATTTCCTCAATAAGTGTATAAATCTGTATATATATGTGAACATATATGCATGATATGATTATGAAAACATTGTATGGAAAATGAAGGATACTTACTGAATAGTTCGAGATGAAAATTAACATTGTTATTCTGAGTTTGATAGCCTTGGTCTTGATTTCTTCAACCTTATTAGTGGAAGCTAGAAGTAGGAATAATGAAGAAGAGAAGAGGAGAAGTCGCGGTGGGGTAGGAAGAAGTAGAAGAAGCAGTGGTGGGAGAAGATCAAGAGGAAGGTCTTCGTCATCTTCGGGTTGTGATCCTTTATTTTCATACCTCTTTGGAAGTTGTGGTCAGTGGCCTTTCCCTCGTAACGCACAAAACAACCCATTTACCCAACCAATTTCCCCTTCACCCTCACCTCGCATCCCAGCTCCGCCATACCGTCCTCCGATTGTACCATCTCCTCCACCAGCGGTTATACGGCCACCAGTTATCCCGTCTCCACCACCTCTCATTCCTTCACCTCCAATAGTAAACCCATCACCACCTCCGCTCGTTACGCCGTCACCACCACCGGTCGTTGCACCATCACCGCCACCTGTAGTGGCTTCTCCGCCACCACCGGTCTTCTCACCTCCACCGTTAGTTCCATCTCCGCCACCACCTTCTCCTCCACCACCAATTCCACCACCACCTTTAGTTCCTTCCCCACCTCCGCCAGAACCTCCGCCATTCTTTGTCTTCCCACCACCACTAGTTGCTTCGCCACCTCCACCGGCAGAACCTGTCTTCCCTTGGTGGTCCCCTCCTGATCCAGACGACACTCCCAATTTTCCGCTATTTTCTCCTCCGCCGTTGGTACCCGATTTTCCCCTCCCAACACCTCAACCACCAGATTTTCCACCAGAAACTCCACTGGTGCCCATATTTTCTCCACCAGAACAGGATTTCCCCCCACCTACACCACTTCTTCCCATATTTTCTCCACCTCCAATTTTCACTCTTCCACCGCCGGAACAAAATTTACCTCCAGCTACACCGCTTGTCCCTATTTTTCCGCCAGCAGATAACCAGCCAGTGATTCCCGATCAACCACCAAACAGTTTTATGCCATCTCCACTGTTTCCTGATCAACCACCGACCAATTTTCTGCCTTCACCGATTTTTCCTGATCAACCACCAAACAACTTTCTTCCGTCACCGATATTCCCTGATCAACCACCAGTCAATTTCCTGCCGTCACCTGTAATTCCTGATCAACCACCGACCAATTTCCTGCCGTCACCTGTAATTCCTGATCAACCGCCAGAAACATTTCTCCCGTCACCGTTAGTTCCCGATCAAGCGCCGCCAGTTGCAGTAATTCCGCCATTTGAGCTTCCGCCTCAGCCGGACTCGCCACCATTCGCCTAATAGTTAATGGTTCACGTCTTCACGATCTCCATTGAATTTGAAACCGCATGTTTTTTATTTTCCTTTGGTGCATTTTTCTTTTTTCTTTTTTACTTTTTTCTCAGCTGTAGTTAAAACCCCAAATGTACTGTAAAAGATTGTTTTTTTTATTATTACTACTATGAATAAAATAACTATAATTTATAAATAACATGATCTTTTAAGTTATTAGCTGGACTTTACCTTAAGATCAATTTACATATGCTCGTTTCACTTCATAAATAATGATAAGATTTAGACAATTATGTATTTTAATAGAATAAGAAATTCAGATATCACTGTAAATCTATTTTGCGTGACTTTTTAAAATTCAATCAAATCAATAGAATATTGTTAGTAAAAGCTTACGATATAATAAAATTAAAAATAAAATAAAGAAATAAATTTTTAGGTTGAGGCACGGATATCTTGCTCTTTTTAACAAGATACAAGCTCATTGCGGCATAATCTACACCGATCCAGCAGTAATACTCTTGACTTGTCTCCTTCAGGATACAACAGCCCAACAGTAGTGTATAATTTAAACAACTCCGGATTAGTTGAAGAGTCTAAAGCTCCATAAAAAAACACTTTCCTTCGACATATAATACTCTCTATTGTATAGTAAATATAGTTGAAGACTTAGAATATTTTCTATTACTCAACTCTCTCTTTCACTACACTAACCTCAATATAAACCACTCATCTTTTTCACTCTATATTTTCTTGTATTTCTCTTGTTTCTCTCCTTTCTCAACACAAATGAAGACTACACTATTTATAGGTGATGAATTAATTCTTGCAATGAATAGGAGTCACTGGATAGTAAATTTGTCAAATGAATGGCTCAAATGTTATATAAGTTACAAGACATAAATAAAAGAATAATGGATAAAATAAAGAGTTGGTGGTTACATAAATTATACTAATGACCATTTTCTTCAACAATTGATGATAGTAAAGAGGCATAAACGTAATGTCTATCAATAAACATAACATGATATATAATGTGACATATAATATATATTTTTATTAATATTAAAATGTCCACCAACAATATTTTATTCCTTCTCTAATGCATCAAACAGATGGATTGAGTTGAATCAAACAATATATTTTCACTAGTTAGGAACATTAATGTCACAAAACTTCCTGTTATTCCATAATTTATCGGCAAATGAAAAAAGATTAGACGGCAAAAGGTCGAAGATTGATTGAGAAATACAAATTAAAGTCATTCGACAAAAAGCACATGCAACACTTGTTTGGGGCGTGATATTGACAAATTCGACTTGGTAATTGTAGTTTTTCTTTTTCCTTCAAAATACTACATTATTATCATTATCCAATATGTTAAAGCTAATTCTATATAATTTGGTATTTTATGTTTAATTTTGATATTTTTTCATAAAACTAAATAAAAAATACAATAATGTATTTGATTTGATTTACATATGTAATATATGATTATAAGTTTAATTTTTATCAATAGACATTTTAATTATATCATACTAACATTTAACACAATAATAAAATAGCCTCTCACACAATGAGGTCTAGGAAACATAGAGTGACACCTTACCTCTATATTAGAGGCAAAAAGATTATCTTTGATAGACCTCTACGGCTCAAGACAAGATTAATCTAGTAAAAGACATATAAAATTCGATAAAGTTATAACTTGATTGAAAAAAATAAACTGGTGGACTCATTATATGAATTTGAACAACACTCTCCTTATAAGCTAGACTTTGAGGTGGGCTTAGCCTAGATATCTTATATAACAAGCTATCAAAACCAAGTTTATCTCTATTTAGACTCTGATATCATATCTTAATACAATAGAGAATAGATATTAAAAAATTACCTTACCACATACAATAAACATTAATAGAAATGGCCCTACTAATACTATTAAGGCAACAAGACAAACTAGTAGGGGCAAACTCCTACAATTCTACGTGCTAATTTTCTATCTTAATTTATGTTCTTCAGACATCGGATATATATAATTATTAAAAAGAAAATAGAAAGAAACTTTTTTGTTAGCCAACTATACATAAAAAAAAAATGTTTCAAAAAGGACAAAATAAATAAAATTCCAAGATCTAATTAATTAGTATTATACTAATACTAATCTATTTTTTAAAATTATAATAAGATTGAATAGTTTGAAAAATCCTTATATTTAATTTGACTTATTAATTATATTATTTTACACACAAATTTATCAATTGCGACTTAAATTTCGTAAAACTCAATATTTTTAAATGCCTCCTATTGTTAACCAAATTAATCTAGCTTGAGATTTGATCATAAAAGATTTCTCAACCCTCTTCTTCTACTACATCTCCTTTACACATCAACCCATCCAACATCTTAAGATATTTCATTTATTTATAGACTAAATTTGCTCAATTGAAAAATTATTGTGTTGAGAAGTTTGAGTAATTTATGAAGAATTGTGAAATTTTTATATTTTTGAGGAAAAAAGATATAGTTTGCATGTAAAAATAAAATTCCATTTCGAAATCGGCACTTTAAAACAAAAAGGGCTATTTATTTCTAGATCTCAAATTTAAATTTTGAAATTGACAAAATCAAAAAGTTCTTGGGTCGGTCTATCAATAACGAAAAGATAAAAGACCCATTTCAACAATTTGTTAAAGTAGCCTCAATGCAAGTGAAAGTACACTGAATTCCAAAATTCGCCAGAACAGAATTCGTAACTGAATTCCGAATTCTCTCTCGAAAAACGAGTCAATTTTTCATATGTAAAATTTTAGCCCTAATTAGCTAAAATCAATGGCAAATCGGTGCAAGGATTTGCCGGTAGAATGCTGGGAACTGATATTCAGTCGTCTTCATCACAAATCCGACTTGGAATCGTTTTCCGTGGTGTCCAAACAGTTTCTTGCTCTCACAAATCGTCTGCGAATCGGTTTAACGGTGATAGATTCGACTCTGCTCACCCACGGTAACATATCTAAACTCATTCATCGATTTCCGAATCTTAAATCCATTGATCTTAGTAATTTCAGTGGTGACCTTGATCCTGTTCTTGTTGATCTTGCCAATTCCCTTTCGTATACATCAAATCTCGAACGAATTGATATCTCTAATCAAAAGAAATTACCGTTTATGGGTTTGAAGGAGTTAGGGAGGAAATTAAAGGGTTTGAGGGTTTTGACATGTAGCAATCTAACTCTTTTGCGTGATTCTGATTTGTATGTTATTGCTGAGTTGTTTCCGTTTTTGGAAGAGTTGGACATTAGCTATCCGAGTACGGATTATGTTTTGGATTCTGTGTATATTGCTTCAGAGGCTAGTAATTTGGCTGTGACTGATTCTGGGGTTGAGGTTTTGTCTGTGAATATGAGTAATTTGCGTAAGATCAATATTTCTGGGAATCATTTGATTACTGATAGGTCGCTTGTTGCGCTTTCTATGAATTGTTTGAATTTGGAAGGACTTGAGATGGATGATTGCCCTTTTATTACCGTAAAAGGGATCCTTTCTATACTGCGGACTTGTGCTGCTTTGAGTTGGATTTCAGTGTCTGAGATTCATATTGCCCAATCTAGTTCTGGTTTTGAATGTTTGGCTACTTCTAGCCGAACTTTACAGAAACTAGAAGTTTCCAATTCCATTATAACGGATGAATTCCTCTTCATGGTGGCCAATGCTTCTCTCCCTCTAAATACACTTACACTTTGTTGGTGTACAGATTTCACATATTCTGGTATTTCTAAGTTGTTGTGTGCATACCAATCCCTGAAGTACTTGTCATTGGTTCAAGTAGATTTTTTGAGTGATGAGTGTATGGATGATTTATCCCAATATCTACGGTGTATTGTTACCATTGATCTTAGTGGTTGTATGAGATTGACCAATTTGACGTTCTACGCACTTGCAAGAAACTGTCCTTCACTAAAGGAAATTTATATGGAAAATACTGGTTTTGGGACGAATCATTGTTTTCACAATAATGTAAAGAACCCGAGAATCAGGTCTGTTAATTTGGCAACTAACCATTACCTAGATGATGACTGTCTCATGAATGTTGCTTTGATGTGCCCCAACATGGACTTTCTTGATGTGATATCGTGTACTAGCCTTACAGAGGCAGGTATTATTGCTGTTCTTGAGATGTGTAATCAGATAAGGGATTTGCAACTTGATAATTGTTCAGGGATTAAACATATCGGAAAAGGTGCAGAATTGCCTAGTCTTGAGGTAATAAGTGCAGCTGGTTCAGCATTAAATGATGAAGGTCTGGTCATGATTGGAAGCAGATGTTCTCGACTGCTGAAATTAAACTTGGAGAACTGTAAAGGAGTGACAGCAGAGGGCTTACATGCAATGGTGAAGAACTGTAGATCATTGAGAGAGATAAACTTGAAGAAGTGTCCTCAAGTTAGCATCAATTCTCTGAATAATTTGGTGTTTTCGTCTTCATCACTAAGGAGAGTTATTCCGCCCTGTTGCGCTGCTTTTACTGATAGCTTGAAGGGATTTTACTTGCACCATGGATGTCGAGTGTACTCAGGCTAGTGTTTGTCTGGTGTATGTAGCACATATTATACATTGTGTCCCTTTGATTTCAAACATTTAGACTGTGTGTCATAGAACTAGTCCAGTTTTTCATATCTGTTGTAAATTTTGTTGAAAATTTATTTAGACTGTGCAGTCTGCCATTATCTGTTCACATTTGTTTTACAGCTGCGCGCTGCAATCATACCCCCTCCTCATCCTGTGTGTTTTCCAGCTTTTATCTTTCTTATTAACCAGATTTTGAGTTATCCTGTATTAGTTGAAAGTTGAATCACTGTAAGTGGAAATACAGGAGCAACATCATGTTGGATGTTCTTATTTATAGAGTACATCCATTTTCAATTAACTTCACCATTTTACTGTAAACTGACAACAAACCCGTAACCTTATACATTTCCTTTCTCTTCAATAATCCAATTTAGTTTCTA